CACGGGGACACTTCGAGTTAGACAGTTATTCCTGAAGGCTCTTCCATAGTTTGTTATTTTGGGTGTATCGGGTCTCAGCAGGCTCTGCAGTTTGCAGTAAAAGTGTTAATTACACTGTGGATGTGTGTTCAAAATAAAAAAATAGAGAAAAAGCTTCTGAAGCCTTTGGTGTTCCGTGTCAGGGAGGTGCAGCTGGAGGGGATTTACAACTGCTGCCTTACTCTGAGGTAATATTAATAAGTGAGTAACTATTATGTTGATGAGGTTTTTGCCATGTCAGATAGCACAGAAATTTAACATCTCTGACTCACAGCTTACTGTCATTGTGCTGGAAAAGTACTTACAGCCTCATTTTCCTGGAAGTTTAGGATGAAAGGATTAATCCAATTTACCCCTTTCTTCCTTTTTTTTTTTTTCTCCCCCTAGATTTAAAGTGCGATTTTGCTTAGCTTTTAATGCATGTTTTGAGTAGTATTTGGGGCCATAAGAAAGGAGGAGGGAAAATAAGGCTAGGAGGTAGGTTTGTCAGGAGCAGTGTTGCTAGTGTAGGAGAGGGCTTTGCTTTGTTCCTTTGACTCCATCATTGGATTGGTCAGTGCAGGGGTGAAGGGCTGCACACAGTGCCTGCAGCTGTTTGCTTTTACTGTGACCAGTGGCTAAACTTAGACCAGAAATGAAGCAAAACTTTAGGGAGGACTTTGTGACAGACTTGCTGTTTGAGAATGATAACGCATTAAGATAGTTTTGGATTTCTTTTCAGGATCACATTGTCTTGAAAGAAGATGAAACACCAAAGAAGACAGAAGGTCAGCAAGAGAGATTCCTTTCTCTGTTCTCTTTGAAAAGATAAGCTCTGAGGAATAGTTGCTAATACTTTCTTTTAAGTCTCATGTTTTTATAACTGGGAAGTTTAGTCAGAAATGTAATCCCTTGTTTCAGGGAACTGTTTCTCTTCCTCTTATTGAGGAGAACATAAGCATGAGTCATGGTACTCTGTATGTTTATACTTTGCTTGATAATGTCTATGTATACAGAGATACAGGAAAACATCCTGTCAGGTTGCTTCTTCCTCCCTTGCCATCTCCTTCAAGCTTGTAATCTTGATCTTCTGTAGCTGTAAATAACAGAGAGCTGACTGAAACAGTGTATTATTGCTCAGTTAGTTGTTAAAGAACAACTGTGTGAAAGGATTGATTGGTACATTGCATGTCTTAATTGCCTGAAACTGCCAAAATAATTCTGAAGGTATATTGATTAGCCTCCATATCCTTCTTAGAAAAATTGCTGAAGGAAAAGAGAAATTGTGAAAAGTGAAATTCTTATCTCAGCACCTCGGGAAAAATGAACAGCCTTGTTGTGCTGGGGGTGGGACATAATGCAGCTCCCAGAAGCTGAGGCACTTTGTGCACCACAGAATAGCAATCTAATCTTCTAATCCCTTTTCTTTTATGCAGCTACAGAAAACATCAAACCCCAGCTGGAAGGTGGAGGCGAGAAAAAAGACCAGGGCAAAGAGGAGCGATGTAAGGAGCCAGAACCCAAGATAGACAATCATGAGCCCCGGCTAGGGCCAAGGCCACGCTCACACAACAAAGTCCTCAATCCACCCGGGGGGAAATCCAGCATTGCATTCTATTAGGGTCATCACTGTCACTAACAGAGTCTGCACAGAAACTCTTGTCTGGTCAAGTTTAGTCTGGCGAGGTCAGTTTATAGACTATTGCTGGTGGGTAGATTCATAGGTAGATGGATGAGGGTTATGCTAGAGTGTGTAGGAAGGGTAACCTGGTGATTTGGGGAGGGAGGGCTGGGGAGGGAATGGGTGCCCTGTGGAAGATGTGAGTATTGGCCTGCCTGGGTGGGTGGCAGAGGGGAACATTAGTGTAACTGTTGTGTTCTTAGCTAGCTTGTGGCACAGGACACTCTTGTGGAGTCAGGTGTATCCATACAGTCAGCATGTCAACCATTGTGAACAGGAAGGGGCCTGGAGGTCACACTGAAGATCCTGAAGCACAGCAGGTAGGCTGGCCTTTCTGCTAGGCAGTGGGATGCAGCTTCACTGCTGACTTGCAGTCCCTTGAATGTAAATCAGTTCCACTGGAACAAGTAGTGCTGCCATGGTTAGGAGTGTCTCCAGTCTTGGGTTCTCTCTCTCCTTTCTTGCTTTGCAGCACATGATTGCTGATACAAGGACAAAATATGCTGAAAGTTTCTTTTATACTCATAAACCATCATGTGTTTATAATGATTGTGGTCTTCCCCTCCCCAGGTATTCAGGCCTTTCTGATGCCTTTGGTAATCTGCTGATTACTAGGACTGGCTCTTGACATGGGTCAGCCCAACATACTGTTTCATGTAGGTGCTTCTAGCAGGCTTTTGTTTAAAGTGTCCTGGTTGGATGCTTCACGTTTTCTGGTAAAGATGTGTGTGCAAACAATAGCTTTATGGTACTCTTTGAACAGAGGCAACTTGAAGTTTACAGTTACATGGAGAATATGCCTAGGTGTCCAGCCAGCTGGCTCTGCCCCAGCCTGTGTGGCAGTGCCTCATCTTTGGCACAAGTTTTCACTTTGCGTCCCGTGGAAACCAGGACTGTTCTCCTGTCTCCACCACAGTGAATCTCCTGTTTGCTTTGTCTGTGCTGACTCTGTTAGTGAATCCCCCTGTCTTTGGTCAGCCTTACCTTTGCCTTTGACTGCCTCGGATTTTTGTTAGTAAAGTTGGGAGAACTACATTGGTTCTTCCAACCCAGAGCTGTAGTTGTTTTTGCTGTAGACTATCCTAGCTGGAAAACCAGACTTTAGCAATACAAACCTTCTGGTTGTGCTGGCTATTGTAAATCATGTTTGGAAGATGTGCATGTTTTGCACAGACCTTTTTGAGGGAGGGTGGCTCCCATCCTTTGTTCTCTGAATGGACTTTCTGATCCTATCCAGAGCTTTGATATGAATGTTAACCTTAGGTGCTTACTGTTCATTGTGTTGAATACTGACCTTTGAAATCTGACATATCAAAACAGGAGTTGTTCAGGTACACCAAAGATCAAGTGGCCTTATCTCTGTATATCCACTGCTGTTCTAGCCCAGGTTCCCTGGAAAGTGCTGCTATTGGGAGGGGACACTGGGCCAGGTGCTGAACCTCTCTGTGATTGTAGTGCTTCTTAGGCTGCACAGTTCCATTTGTCAGCAGTGCTGAGTGACTGCACAAAGACTTAGTTGCCTTTTCAAATAGTGAAATACATGGGGCAGTGCTAGGGGTAGAAACAGCCATGGAAAGTAGGGATTTCAATGCCTTTGTACCGTTCAGATTGGTTTGGAGCTGCCTGTTGTTTGTCGCCCTAGGAAAACAAGGCAGTGATTCAAACTGCAACCCTGGAATGGATTGTTGTTACTTCCAAACATGTATTTCCCAGCAGCTGTTCTTGAGTCTATGCTGAGTCTCAGACACATCTATCTGCTTCAGTTCCTTGTTCCAGTACTTGACAGGAGGCTGCATGTGGAAGTTGATCAGAGGCTGCTTCCTGCATTGCAGGCTCAGGTGTAGTTGGTGCTGTCTGCAATACTGAGCATTTGGCCTCTTTTAGTACCTGATGTGCATTGTTTTTTAAAAGAGAGTGCCTGTCTTTTAAAAAACAGCTTCTAACTAGGCCTTAAATTTGTTAAACTTATGTTAATTTTCTTGTGTTTCTTTCTTTGGAATCTAAACAATGTTTTCAACTCATCAGGATTGGTCTGAGTATTTCTCCGGGACAGAAGGGGGTTGGAAATCAAACGACAGAACATGCAAATGTCAATAAACCTCTGTATTTTGTTACTTCATTGTGTGCTGTAGGTGTCTGCTTTTATAAATCAGTCCATGGTCTATTTCAGTGGCCAACCTGCTCCAGCTGCTTCTGCCTGAGCACAAGGGTGTGGGACCCAGTGATCTTGGGAGGTCAGTGCCAAACTAGATGAGTCTGATTTTGGAGTTCTGTGACTTCTCACCCCACCCCTAAATTTCTGCTGCACCAAACTCCAACAGGGAAATCCTTTAATTGTGGTCTGAAATTAATTCACAATGGAGCTTAGAACTTGCAGACCTTGCTCCCTGAGCACATCCTCTTCAGTACATCAGTTTAACCAAGCTTTGCTTTGATGTGTGGGGTTGGCTTAAAATGTGCCATTACTGTCAGTGCCCAAATTGCTTTCAATCTACTACTGTTTATATGAAATGCAACTTGAGCACAGCTGCTCTTTCTCTTAAGAATGCATAGGAATTTACGTGTGTCATTCACTTGGGTATTTCTCCTACTTGGCTGAGTTAGTTTACTTCATTCTTAAAGCCTCCTTTGTGCTTTTGTAAACACTGAGTGTGAACGTTTCCAAAGGGCAGTTGGCTGAGTGAAACAAGCCTCTGGCCTTCATGAGTAAGAAGAGCACCATGGTGTAAAGGACAGAATTCCAGATCAAAACCTTTTATGTTTTAGAAGGGAAATGAATAGGCACAGCTTACAGAAGCATTTCTAGTAAAGTAATAAGCAATTAGGCTAGGCTTGTGTGCAAAAGGTCATCCATTTGATTAATTCAGGCTCCTGCCTGAAGGATAGAGATGGTGTGACTTGCCTGGGTGTGTGATTTGTGGAAGAGGCTGCTCTAGAGCAGTCAGTGAAAGGGCAGACCTGCCCTGTGTGGGGGTGGCACGTGCTGCTGTGCAGGTTCTTGTGGCAGGGCTCTTGTGAGGTAGGCTCAGCTTTGCAGGCAGTTGGGATCCAGGTTGATAAGCTGTCTTAACAGCTCCTGTACCTAAGTGAACATCACTGACTACAGTGTAGTTCCTAAAGTGCCCCATGCAGGTGGCTGAGTGTCAGAGGAGGCCCAAGAACCACAGAGCAGACCCTTTGCACTTGTGTGTAACATTCCATTCCTGAGGACAATTCCCTTTAAAGACGTTTAAAGTACACTTTGAGGCAGAAGTGATCAGTGCTGTGTCTAGCAGTGCCATTGTTCTCTCCCTGCTAAGGTTCAGCTGACAGAGCCTTCGGTTCCTGTGTCATCATTTAGGAGCTGTGCTGCATCCTCAGGGTCTCTGTCCTGCCCCACAGCTGCTCCTTTTCTGCTTCTGTTCAGTGTCCCATCCTGGAAATTCAAAGCAGCAATTGGTGACAGAAGGACACTGTTTTTCCTGTACACACACACTGTCACAAGTAGGTCCTGGCCCTTCCCCTCACTGTCTTGCAAAAAAACGCAGCTGCCAATAGCTCCATACCAGGCAAGACTGTGATGCTTTCCTGGGGATTTAGCAGAGGGTTCTCCATTTTTGGAGCCCCATTTTAAGAGTTACTCACATGCACACCCAACAGCAGTTACATGGATAAAAAGAAGCTGGTGATGCACAGGTTTCTCATCTCATCTCATATCACACTTACCTGGGTCTTGTCCACAACATTGAGGCTAATGGAGGCAACAATGCACGCAATAGTGTTTGCCAACATAAAGATCATCACCTGCTGCCAGCGCCACAGGGGGATCTTTAGTTCACTAGAGAGCCAAAACAGGACAGAACAACCAGTCACTTGAAGGCAGTTAAGGCACCTCTCTGGTTCCCTGCAGCATCAGGTTGCAAATCCCCTGATTTTTGTTCATAGCACTCCACTAAAGCACTGGTGATATGGCACACAGACTCAAGCTCTGCCAGGGGAGGTTTAGGTTGGATATTAGGAAGAAATTTTTTACAGAGAGAGTGATCAGGCATTGGAATGTGCTGCCCAGGGAGGTGGTGGATTCACCATCCATGGATGTTTTTAAGATGAGACTGGATGTGGCACTTAGTGCCATGGTCTAGTAACCAGGGTAGGGTTGGACTTGATGATCTTGGAGGTCTTTTCCAACCTGGTTGATTCTTTGATTCTATGATTTTATGTCTCTGCTTGGAAGTAAAAATGGAAAAGCATTCTCACCTGGACTTTGTTCCCAGAATGTGTCCAACAATCAGATTTGAAAGGCCAACTCCAACCATCTGCACAGAGGTTGCCAATCCCATTGCTGTCCCTAAAGTTGCCTGGGGGACCACGAGGGGTATGGATGGCCACATACTAGCCTGGGGGGGAGCAATGAGAACAGGGGCTCAGAGCCTGATTTAAAGGTGTTAGATAGACACTGGTTCCGAAAGAATTATTCCCACTAAATGAACATTTCTATTTTCTCTTCAAAACATCTGATGTTTGTCCCCCCCAGTCTATTGTCTGGTTCTAGACTGTTTGCCATCCTTTTCAAGCAGCTTGAGACAGCACAGACAACCCAGGTTATCTGAAACTGGAATAACCTGACTCCAGATTTCAGAAGGGGAGTCAGACCTGATGATTTAGCTCATAAGACTCAAAAGAGATTCGGGTGTTACATCCAAGGTAGAAAACACTAAGCAAAGAGCAGTCAGGTTAAAGCTTCACACTGTATTGAGTGTGTCCTCACCACGCTCCATTTTGCTCCATGTTGATTCTTTGGGGTTATTTGTTAGTAAGGAAAGTTTTCAGGCTTGAGGAGCCAATGACTTCAACCTGTGGCAGCTAAACCTGCTCAGCAGGACACCAGGGCAGCAGTAATAGGCCATGAGATGTGGGAGTGGAGCCACTACACACACACAGCTACACCAGTGGGGTTGGGAACTCACAGCAGCGAAGGAGTAAGTGATCCCCAGCCAGATGGTAGAGACCAGTGGAGGCACAAACGTGAATGCCAGGAGAGCAAAGACTGGCAGAGTCAGCACAGCACAGCCAACAGCAAAGACACCTCTGAGTCCAACGTAGTCCTGGTGGAGGGAACAAACAGCAGACCTCGTACAGGGGATCCTGCTTCCCAGGCTCCTAGGGGCACAAGGAGCTGTGCAAAGCAGCCTGGCAGGAGTGGCACTGCCATGGCATTTCCTGGCTGGTGGTGGTGTAGCTGTTCCTAGTTTCTCTTGTGTACCTCTGAACTGAGACTGAAATGCTGTCAGAAACTCAGTGTCTGGCAAAACCCCAGGCTTTAATGAAGGGGGAGGGAAAACACACTGACAATTACAGAAATAAGGAAAGGATGAGTTTGACAAACAGGGCCTGAGTACATGCAGGTTGTTCTTCACCATGTACTTGCAAAGCTTATCCTGATCCTTTCTGTTCCTGTCTCAGACTTCCCAAAACACACACAGCCATGTGGCATGAGTTGGTGCTACCACAGCACAATTACAGGACAGAGGGAAAAACAGGTTAATGTTATTTCCTGTCATTTTAGTCAAACTAAAGTGCATCTTGCAGTTTGCAAGGATATAAAGGACTGTGTGTTCAGCCACAACAGGTGAAATTCTGGTTGAGGAGCTGTCACAGACATTTCAAAACATCAGGAATAAGTTGTCAGCAAGTGCTTCAGGTTTTGGGTACTCACAATCAATATGCCAACTGCTGCAGAGAGAACGAGGGAGCTGTCATACACTGCCCCAGCAATATAAGCAGCTGCCTGCTGACTGTAGCCAGAATATTTATCCTGGATGAACTTGCTAAAAATAAAACGAAGAGGGGGAAAAAATCCATAATTAGTATTCTTGATCTGGTTATTTTGACAGAAAGTAAGTCTGAGCACAAACATATGGACAGGAAAGGTTTAGATGAGAGGACTGGTAAACAAGCTTGATTCCATCTGGTTTGCAGTGCCAAACCTTTGGTGGTTTGTTTTCTCTTTAATTGCTGCACACCACAGAGGAGCTGGTAGCTTGCAAGACACTTCTGCAAGTGCAGAGTGAAACTGCAGGCTAAAGTGGAGCTTATGTGTTGCCTTCCAGCACAGCTCACTGCAGCAATGTGCTGTCCAAAACACACAGCTGGAGTTTTAAGATCCTCTTTGAAGAGGCAGAAAGCCTCATCAGTCCAATGGGGAGAAGGCTGAGGGGCAGGACAACTGTTTTGAACAGTTTCCCCCTTGGAAATTCCTTTAAGGAGACCTGGTTACAGCAGGAAACACTCATTGGGTCAAATTGCATTAAACTTCCTCAAATTCTTCATAGGATTTACAGTCAGAACAGCTTACACAGCTTTATTTAGAGATCTTGTAGCTACTTCAGCCTGGGTTGGCTATTTGCACAGCTACTTCCCATCAGTTGTCATGTTGATGACATTTCTTCCCTCCTGATTTCACACTGACTTCCTATACATGACTAATGAAATACCACCACAATAATGGTGGGTTTTTTTACTGCAAGCCTTTGCTAATACAAAAGTTCATCACTGTGTGACAGCATCATCCACAAACAGGAACAAAGCAGCAAAATGACAACTCTGTGGCAGAGCCCCTGGACAGGAGTACTGATTTAGTCAGACAGGTTGCTGCTTTGTTTTAAGGGAAGGAAGGCATTAAAAAGGAGGCCTGAATCATTCACCAGGAAACAAAAGCTTCCTCACATACAAACCCAGGCAGAGCAAGCCCAGCTGTGTTCCAGATGCTCAGACAGCAGGAGCTGCAGGGCAGAGCCGCCCCAAACCTGAGCAGCTGACACCCCACCCGCTCAGGAGACACCCACTTTGCTGAGCTGTCACAAAGGTTGAAATGGCTCCAGGCTATTTTTTAAATGAAGCATTTCTTTCCCTTCTCCCAAATCCTTCTGATCCTCCTTTGGCAGTGTTCCAGGCTTGGGATGAATCATTTCCCTTTAAGGTATTTTTGCTTTCTTTCAGAAGCCTCCCCCATCTTTGGAGGGAAACAAAGGGCAAAGAACCCTCGACCCTTTACCTCGGTGTTAGAGACATGTCTCTCTGCATTTCCTGAACGGTTGTAAAAAGCCTATCCCCCCTGCACTTCCCAGTCAGCCCAGAATTGAGGCCTGCAAGGCTCTGCAGGCTCCTGTCAGTCAGTGAGCCACAGCCACACATACCTGGCATCTGCCACGAAGGGGAAGACTCCGTTGTAGAAGAACATGATGGTGAGGACCAGGAGCCAGTAACGAAGGGGAAGGTGTTGAATGTCCTGAATCCTCTGCAAGACAAGATGTGCCCTCACTCACCAGGAAATAGCTGAGCTTCACACCAGTGTCCCTGCCTGCAAGCCACTGAAGGGCACAAGGGATTTAAGAAGTAACAGCAGGTAAAAGGGAACTGAAAGGCAGCTCATATACCTCCATAAGAAATTTGACATGTGCTGACTCTAAAATGTTTCTTTTTTAATGCTATTCAGTACAGAAAACAAAAAAGGCTCTCTTTTGATTTCTGTAAAGGTTCCAGCTGCAGGAGACTGTTCTGAGCAGAGTCCACTGAAACTCTTAAAGTGGAACATAGCAGAAAGGTACAGTATAAACAGGAATCACAATGCTGAGCTACAGAAACCAGCAAGAATACTGCCATGAGAAGAAAGCCAGCTAGTGCATTAAAGTGCCATAAAACTGCAGACTAATGCCTGTGATGCTTGTCCCTAAAAAAAAAACAGGAATTCAAGGAGGGGCTGGCAAGAGACTGTTCAGTAGTGACCAGCTCAGCTGTTTGCCATCATGGATCCTGTGAGCCAGGAAGCAGTTCAGAGGGAGCTACCTGTTAGTTTTGTGCACAGAATCCTCCTCTGAGCCACCTCTGGTCACGAAATAACTGGCTTAGAAAGCTACTGCCGTGGCAGGTGCCACCTTTGCTCTCTGGCAGGCTGCAAACACAGGAAGAGACTGTTCAGTAGTGACCAGCTCAGCTGTTTGCCATCATGGATCCTGTGAGCCAGGAAGCAGTTCAGAGGGAGCTACCTGTTAGTTTTGTGCACAGAATCCTCCTCTGAGCCACCTCTGGTCACGAAATAACTGGCTTAGAAAGCTACTGCCGTGGCAGGTGCCACCTTTGCTCTCTGGCAGGCTGCAAACACAGGCTCTAAGCAGGGAATCGACTCGGCCGGGAGCTGATGCGATCCAGAGAGCAGGAGGGGTGGGAATGCCCTCTCCTGGCTAGGACCTGCTCCTGCCGCCGCAGCCTTCCCTGCGCCCCAGAGGCAATGCACCCGCGATTTCCTGGTGGAGATGGAAAAGCTCTTTGTGCACCACGTACCACTTTTTTGGACTCTTGCTGGATAACACCATCCAAGCCCAGCTGCTTCATGCCCACTTTATCCAGCACACTGACTGTGAGGGCTGAGACAAACCCCAGCACACAGAGCAGGCTCCCTGGAAAAAAAAGAGGTGGTAGAAATTCCTTAGCGTGGAGAGAGCTGAAGGATAAAACCCACTGCGTGTAAAATGCAGAATTCTCCGTGACTTCTACTCTTGGAGTAGGACAAGGCATGTAGAGTAGGACCCTTCACCTCATACCACCCTGTCCTGAAGTGTCAGGTTATGCTGGGTATGCCAAAGCAAGTTTGGCAATGGCATCTGCTGCAGACATCATTCTCAGAGAGTTCTGTACCCATTTTGTTTTCCAAAGAGCCAAAACAGCTTCTGAGATGTACACACACTTTGATGTATTGATCCCTTCATGGGCTACAGAAGTCACTGTGCTGTGCTTGCAAATGCTGCCCGAGCACAAAACTAAAAGTCAGATGGGATGTGACACCTCATGCCCACTACAGCTTCTTCTCTGAGAGCTGGAATCAGAGGAGAGCAATGGGTTTCAATTTATGCAAGAGATTTATCTCACACATGCATCCTCTTTTCCATGGGTGACGGCCCATACTACTTTGTGGGCTGGGAAATAACAGTTTCCTATAATCACTGAGTCTTTGGACACAAAGGAGGCTCTGTGAAGCAGATCTCCCTAACATCACCAAGGCAGCACAACAGTGCCACTTGACCCCTCTGTGGAACAGATCATCCCTTCCACTACAGATCTCACCTCACCGGACCAAAAAGAAGACAGAAAGTCAAATCTTCTAAAGATACAAGCCCTAGGACAGATTCACACTAAGTAATGTGTAATTCAGGTTCTGCTTCTCACAGTAACTGGAACACGTGGTTTCAATCAGCCCCGTGCAAGCATTTTCTGCTGGGACCAGTACAGACACAGCTCCACAACCAGCACGTTCTGCTGGCCAAAGCACAGAACAACAAACGTATTTGATTCCTCTTTCTTTCACTCTGAAGTTTCCATTCCATAGGAGTAAACCTACATCGAGTACTGACTACCTATGACTGCAGATGTTAAAAAATGGCAAGAAAACAAAACTGTCAGGCTGACACTACAGCATTGGGGAGGGTTTTCTGGCATCACTGCAGAAAACACCACTGACTGCACATGGAAAGCAACAGGAAAAACTAGAAAATCATGTGCCTCTTCCTGCTAACCTCATTATCTCTTTCAGGGTCTTGTAATAACTGAACAAAACAGGCCTGGGGTCTAGAAAACAACATACCAAAGAAACTCACCTCCCCAGAGTGTCCACTGCATTCCAAACTTTGCCTCGAACTGCTGAGTGAAGAAGAAGTTGAGGACACTCCCAAGTCGGGAGAAAGACAGAGTCAGTCCAAATGCCAGTGCCAGTTCCTTCCCCTTGAACCAGAAGGCTGTGATACGATTCTGCACAACTTGGAGAAGAGAAACATCCTCTCATGAGCAGTCAGGCTTGGCCCAAGAGCATGGCACAGAAGCAACAGCTCTCTCAGGCTGGAGAGCTCAGACAGGGTGAAGAGACCTCTATGACTCCCACGGGGAGACAGCACATGCCAAACTCACAGCCCATTTTAAAACATACTAAACCATGCTGGGACATGGGAGATAACTTATTCCCCCACATCAGGCAAGTGAAAAAAACCCCAAAGGCAGAGAAATCACATGTCAATGCCCACCCCTGGGAGGAGGACAAGAGGGGAAGACTCTTAAACATGTTGGCACACACTAAATCCACACAGCCCTTCAAGGAACAGTGTTCTGCCAGCAACACAGGGGCAGAGCAGGCAAAGCTGACTGGTAGGACAAGGGTCTAGGAGGCCAAATAAAAATGTATCATGGCCCTTTGGTGCAGTGGAAATATGTAAATATGAATTCCTTACTCGTAAGTGACCCATTCCCAGAGCCAAAAAGCAATCTTCCTGTTAGCATCATTGGGAGGAGGTATGGTGAGCCCTTGAAGTGTGAGCCTAGAGCAAAGATGGATGATCCCAGCACAGTCAGAAGAGAGAAAACAAAGACACCAACTAGGGGAGAAACAGAAAAACATACACAAACCTCAACTGAGATCAGGACAAAACCGTTCTGAAGAACAATCTCAAAACACACCAGTAAACCCATGGGCTTCCATCAGCTCACTTTCAGTTTTCCATTTTGTAAAGACTGGTTTCTTAAAAAAATGACCTGGAAATCCTCAAAACAGTGATGATGATATGGTGGGAGGTTAGAGAGTCAAAATAAATCAGACAGAGGACTCTGAACTCTATATACAGTCCCTGTCCCTGTCCTGAGCTCCACTACAGACTATGGCCTGGAGGATGTGATCTCTCTGTCTCCTCTCTAAGACATTTCCCTCTGGGTTACAGAGACAGCATAATTGCATTTGCTGGGGCTGTTGGGTCTTATCTTGTAGCACATGCCAGAGCAAGGAACAGACCTCTGCTTTATCAGTTTGTCCCATCAAAACCAGGTAACACTAGTCCCTGTAATGTGTGTGACAGAGAAAAGTGTGTTTACTGCCCTGCTGTGTCAATTCAGATAAGTCAGTGGTCAAAGGATGAAAACGTCTCAGTTGCTTCATAAAGCTGCTCAGCTAACCATCACACTCACCCACACACTCTGCCCTCCATCCCTCTGTGATCTCACTGCAGTAGGACCTCTGCTCATCCTTTTGAACTGAAAGGACAGCCTGAAATTCCACTCCAGTACAAGAATAAATTAAAGGAACCCCAGAACTTACAGCTATTTCCCAGTTTATCAATCAGAAATCCAGCCAGAATAACCATTCCTGCATTTCTAGGACAAAACCAGAAGAGAAACATGTGTCTCACTGCTTGGATGCAACTACCAACCACCCCCAAAGCAAGAGGAAAGTGACTCACGTCCAGGCATAGATGGCATAGAGCAGGTTGTACTGAGCTGGGGTCATTCCCAAGCCTTCCACACACTCCAGCGTGGTGTTAGTGCTGTTCTGCTGGGTTCCATTGGGGCAGGTCAAGTTCTGCACAAGTCACAGAACCATTGTTAGGAGCAGACACAGAAAAAAAACCACTCATGCCTTTAAAAATGAAGTTCTTCCCTACTTAATTTCTATTTCTCCTGCTGAGTTCCCACTTCCGTGACCAGTCATTAGGGGAGTTGTGTCTTCTCCCAGGAAGCCAGCCCTTGCCAAATGGGAAAAGACATTTGCACTGTATGGCTTCCCTTTCCCTTCCTGTGGCAGTAGCAGCAGGAACTTAGCACTTTTATACACATTTCAGTCCAAAAGAAAAGCCAAGAGCCTGCACTATCAGCTTTATCTGATGCCTTAGTTTCTTGATCTGACTCTTCATTCCATACAGTGTTTGGATTCAGAGTGAGAATACTGTTGATAGCATACTGATGTTTTGATTTCTGCTAAGTTGTGTTCATCCTAAATCAAGGACATTTTCTTTCTTGTGTCTCATGCTCTGCCAGTGAGAAGGTACACAAGAGAAACTGGGAGGGAGCATAGCTGAGAGAGGTGACCTGAACTAACGAAAGGGATATTCCACACCATGGAATGTCATGCCCAGTATATAAGCAGGAAGGGGCTGATCCGGAGAGGTACAGGGTTGTGTAGGTCCATGAGTGGTGAGCAATTCTATTGTGCATCACTGATTTTGTTTTGTTGGGTTTTGTTGGCTTTTTTCCTTTCACTTTCTTTTTATTATCCCTTAGCATTTTAGCTCATTCTGCTCTTTAGTATTAAACTGTTCTTATCTCAACCTACACATCTTATTTTCTCCTCCCCATTCCTCCGTGTTGGGGGGGAAAAGGGGGGCAGGAAGGAGTGTGAGCAGCTGCTAGTTCTTGGCTTCTGGCTGGGGTGAAACCACAACCCCCTCCCCAGCCCTTGAGCACAGCCACTCACCCCTTGGAACTGCTGCTGCAGGACGCTGGGGATGTCGAAGCAGAAGTAGGAACCGAAGGTGAGGAGGCAGTTGAAGAACAGCACGGCGAACCTGTAGGAAGCTGGGACAGATCCTCCTCATCCTCCCATCACGGC